TTATTATTATTTATGCCCACAGCAACTGGTCTTCCTAGGTGGTCTCCCATCCAAGTACTAACCAGACCCAACCCTGTTTAGCTTCCAAGATCAGACATCAGGCTTGTTTAGGGCATGGCCATAGACCATGGACTGTGGCTCCACTGGGGCACGAACCCAGGATCTTCTGCGTGTGAAGCAGATGTGCTGACCGCTACACTCTAGAAACATGTCCAGCTTAGCATCATTCTTTAGGTGTGCTGTCATTGAGAAAACGTTGAGAATTGCAAGGTAAGGGCTTCTGAGAATCCATAAAATGTATAAAAATCTGTATAGGAACATACGACCTTTGACCATCGGTGTCCTAGATGCGAACATCTAATATGGGTACATCAGGCACATTTCCCAAAACCCTTCCCACCAATTACCAAAGACATAGAATGGATTTGATGCTGCTCCATGGAGCTATGCCATCCTGTCCCTATCCCAGTCTTTCTGAACTTATTAGGTTCCTCAAAATGACACCTCTCCCTTATACCATTAAGAAAAAGGGTAATATAGCTGAGAGAACACAACTAACAGGGATAGTCAACCTTCCAGTTCACCAAACCTTGCTTTTCCCCATTTTTGTGCCGTTACAGGGGATCTCATAAAGAATATCTCTCTCAGTACAGGTCCTTGAAACCCCTCGTTGTGAATGAGGTATATTTTATATTATAAAACTTGAATTCTGATTCTAAAGTTCGTGCACAACTGATTTAATCAAAAATAGGAAAACTGAATGAGAGAACTTTACCTCTTTCTGGTACCTTCTTCTTAGGTTCTAAAAACACAGATGTCATACAACATTATTTTTTACTGTCAGGGCCTTTCAGTTGCCAAGTACTGTCTATATATGTCATCTAAGAGCAATGAAGGGCATATTCTGACAAGACTTGAAATCCAAAGATGAATTCTAAGAGTACAAGTATAAACGAGTTGGAAGACAGTGCACTTATGTTACAAACATCTCAAGATGCAAAGGATCTCATGCTTTGGAACTTCTGTAACAATGGACATTCAGCTATATCTCTGGTTTAAATTAATCTTCATAGCAACTCAGCCAATTATATAATACTTTCCTTATGATGGTAAATGCCATTTGTGGGAAGAAATTAAAGATCACTGAATCCATCTCCAAAAGAAAAGAGATAAGTACTGAAAATAATTACAGGCAAATACGTAACCAGAATCAAGGTACCAGATTGCATATATAATTTAGCAGGAGTTTGAAAGCAAATAGAATGAAGATTTTTCTCCTTTCTAAAACACTTATGCACACACTGCTCAGTTAAGTTGCAGATAGTCTACATACCCATGGAAATAAACTGGTGTAGAGACAAGTGGCTCAGACACCATAGTTTACGTTCCAAACCAAGAGAAGTCCTGTCCCAGAAAATAAAGGACTACGAGAACCTTTGAACCTGGGTGGATGGTTTTTTCATATATATCCTACTATGTGCCAGGTTCTCTGCCAAGAACTGGACATGGAGTTTTAAACAAAGAAGTTAAGTCCCATGACTTTGTGAACCTAATAACTTAGAGGAAGAGACAGACATGAAATGAATATATAACTATAAATGGTGGTAAATAAGAAAAAAAGGAGAAAAGCAAGAGCTGAAATTAATTTGGGTGTCAGAGAGGGCTTCCTGAGGAAGTGAAACTTAAGCTGAGCTCTGAAAGATAAATAAGAATCAGGAAAAGAAAGAGCACTCTGGCCAGAGAGAATAGCCCAAAAGTATGGTTCTGGCTAAAATGTTTTCCCTTCACAAGATAAAATATCAATTTTCTCTCAAGTTAGCCCCATAATTCAGTCTCAAGCACGTTGTTTGTGTCATTTGCTTCCTTTGAGTCTAATATACCACTGATATAATTTTTCAGAATATTAAACATGACAATATACATACTATGTGACAAAACAGAGCTGTTTATGGCTGCATATGGAAAAGTCAAAATTCTTCAATGTTGTTAACCTACTACCCAATTTTGAGCAAATCAGAAAGAGAAGATTAGTTACTTATAGTTTGAGCTCTGAATTATCTAATTATTTCTGGAAGGCAGAATCAAATTTGTCCAAGTTTCTAACTGCCATGAAACTTATTACTCCAAGGAAGTCAGATGGCATCACTGACCTCATTATCTGCAGGCAAAACAAGCAATCCATTCCTTTGAAGCAATATCCTTGCTAACTTCTACTCCAACCCAGAATCAGCCTTAGACTCAGCCCTCCTTGCCCAGCACTTCTACCAGTGTGTTTCACCTATGCGTCCCCACTGGGGATCCCTAAGCACATGAACCCCAGCCATGCCACAGTGTCCACCTCCAGCCTCTTCATAACCACAGCGTACATCTGACTTCTACTGGCTCTAGATCCTTCAGACTGACATGTGCCTTGAGCTTTTACTCAAAAATGAAACACTAACTTAGGAAACCAGAAGGTCTTCTGTTCCAGTGACCATCTCTAGATGACCCTAGCATGTTAAAGAACCATGAATCTTCTGAATAATCTGCTCCTGCCTCAAGGCCATAATAATATCCTGGTCTTGTGGTGAAATTTTACCAATTGACCTCCCTCACTCTTCCCAGCTTAGGTTCCCCAACTGTGAGAGTACATGGCTTTCTTTGAGAAATCTCGGGCCTTGATTTTATATATAGGTGCAAAAGTAGTAGTAACCTACCATATCACCACCACCCTCTTTTGTTTATGAGGTAAACACCATGTGACAAAGAGTGCTTACTTTATATGTTTGACTATTACCCTGTGAGCAAAGATATTTACCTGCTTACTTTAAATATTTGACTATTATCCTGTGAGCAAAGATATTGTAAAAAGGCATCATCATCATCATTTCCATTTTACAAATGATGAATCAGAAGCAGAGAGGTTAATGAGATTTGCTGGGATTTGCACCAAAGCTTTTCTCCTCCAAAGCCTGGGCTTTTAACTACTAAATTCCAGGAGCAATCTGATCCCACCATTTCTGGTTTATTTCTGTCCTTTGGTTGACTGTCTTCAATGACCTAATTATGGAAGACTTAGCTGGAATGGACCACTTTCAATCTGATGGCCAAACTGAGCAAAAAGCACATGGACAGGATTTCTGCTGGAGTAGGTACACAGTACCAGTGGACATTCCAGCATATGGCTTGCCCTAGATTGCTATATAATGCAGCCCATGGTCCAGAGTACCTGATGTTCCTCCACCCAGAGCAGCATCCCTAGCACTACTGGTCAGGACTAAGGCTGTGTCAATAATACCTTCTTCATAGGGTTGCTAGGAGCAGAAAAGGACACACTTAGAACTCAGTAAATGGTAGCCATTATTATGCCATCCTGATGCTTTCTTCTAACTTCCTAAGCTCTCTAGGGATCTATCATAAGACAACTCTTTAGGCCACTTCCTCCTGCAGAGCAAATGGAGCCGGAAAAGCCCATGACAATCCCTACTGGCCGAACATGTATCAAGCTCCTAGCCAGCCATTCCAAGAAACAAACCTGAAGGCCATTAGGATCAATAACAAATACCTTTGACTGCATTGTGTGGCTTTTCTCATGAACTTGCTGGTAGAGCACAGGAGTTCATCATGCAGGTCCTAGAGCTAGACTATTGTGCTCAAACTGTGGTTTACCAGCTGTGTGACCTTGTAAGACTTAACTTCTTTGAGCCTCAGCTTATGATTTATAAAGTGGGAATAATAATCACACCTATCTCATAGGATTGTGAAGACTATCTGTCTATATCTATCTATTTCTGTATCCACCTATCATTTAGCTACCTAATATGTACTTATGTTTCAATCTCATCTACTTCCCAAAAAGGTTTTATGAAGGAAAAAAACAACAAATTAAAACAAACATATATATCTAAATGACACACATACTTACATGCACATAGACATATAATTATATACAATTATAATATAAAACTAAACTACTATTTAAAACAGTCTTCAAGATATAACTTTATATCTGTTAAGCTTGAGTAATTTTAAAATATATGTATAGAATCTTAGACAGGTGAAAGTGGTTTATTCATAAATTGCTGACATACATATAAATTGACTTAAACTTTTTGGAATATGTTTTATAAGTATATTTCAAGAGTTATTAAAAGGTTTGCACCCTCATTTCCAGAAATATCAATCTAAGAAATTTCCTCCTAGGAAAAAAAACCAATAAAATAAGAAGTTTAAATGTATAAGAACATGAATTCAAATCCTAAAAACTGGCAATAATCCCAAGTGTTCAAAAATAGCAAAATGGCTAAGTAAATGATGATATATCCATCATCATCCAGCTTTACCTCACAACTATACAGGAATGAAAATTATAAAAACCACACCGCAAAGTAGAACTATAATGCCAGGTTGAAAAGAAAAAAGATATTCACTATGGATCTGGGAAATGGTGAGCAATATGTATATTTAATATGCAAGCATATAGATAAAGATTCAGATTAAGAAATAAAATAATAGACTGATTAATGAAGATGAATGACTGTGACTGTCATTTCTAGTGTATTTTCATGAAAATTCTATTTGCATCATTAAAAAATGTTTTTAACTTAGGATGTGACCACAGTTAGTATAATAATGGTAGATCTTAACTGTGCATTTTGAATCTTCTTAGTTGATTATGCCCATGATTATCTGTAAAAGATAATGTTGTCTAATTTCATAAATGAATGGGTGATTGCACATTAGTAATTCTTATCAGTTTCAATTCAACACTTTCACATATGGTTAATGTCATAGAATTCTCATAACCTTGACATAAATTATCCTTTATATCTATAATAAAAACCTATCAAATGGATTTTCTAATGTATATTGAATTTAGACATTGCAAAAATATATAGAACAAAAATCTTTACCACAGGTCTCCTTTCCGATCTGTGATGAGTAATACAATGATCGAGCAAGCTCTCTTCATCCAATTCCCTCTGACAAAATGGACATACACACCTGGAAATTGCATAGAATACAAGTATTACTAAAATTGTTGGCAATTAGACAGTAGTTACTTAACCAGAGGTAAAAAATAAAATGTGGATAGATCTCGTTTCCAGTCCCTATTCTTTCTGATTTGATATTATTTTTCCTGTCTTGATAATGGTGTTGGTGCCTACATTTTTTTCTCATGAGAAATATAAGTGTGTATCCTCAGGGGGACAGGGTACTTCCTTATTAGAATATATACCAAGATGCTGCTTCCTATCTTCTAAGTGGAAAACCAGCAAAATGAGAAGGAATGAGCTAGGGAACTGAGCAGTGGTGATAGAAAACTAAAGATGAATAACCTCTTAATCATGATCTACTTCAAAAATCTATTAGTCAGAAAGTGGAGACTAGCAGAAATGAACAGTTCTGCATTCTATTTTTGGATCTTCCTTAATACAAACTTGTCTGAGTTCGTTTCCCTCATTTCTCCAATGTTTGGCTGATTTCCTCCATGCAAAGTTTTTAAAGTAGAGAGAGCAAAATTCTTTCTAAATTATTGCTATTAATAAAAGATTACCAACAACAGGTATTATGGTTAAGAGCCTAAACATAAATACGTGCATATTTTTGCAATAAAAATGTTAAACTTTCCAGCTCATTAAATTCTGTATTAACGTATCAAATTCAGCACTAAACTATACTGTGTTGAAACAAACCTTGTTGCTGTTTCCTCGAGTTCTTGTAGTGGTCCATACTTATCTATGTACTTCTCACAAGTTCTTATGTGTGCCCTCATGTCACTGAGGCAAACCTATATAAAAGCAAATTCAAAATAAACTCACTGTTTAAAAGGGGATCGATAAAGTTTTATGTGATCCAGCTTTATCACTTTCATTATTTCAAAAAAGTTCATAGTGTGACGTCAGTTGATTTTAAAAGGATGCATTCATGACGACAGCATAACAAAGTTAAGGCATTATCAAAAATTAACACAATTTTTAAATTTCTCTAATACATTGAAGATCCAATGGTGAGTTCTTGAATTTGATTCTTCTAGAAAGCACATATTTTTTAAAGTGGAAAAGCATACATTAACTCAAATTTACTTTTTGGAGATGCCATTACCTAAATTGGTGTTGGAAAAAAGGAAGTGGGAAAGAAAAAAAGGAGAGGAAAAAGAGGAAGAGGAAGGAAAGGGAAAAAAGTAAAAAGAAAGAGAAAGAAAGGAAAACAAATAGAGTTTAGAAGAATAAGTGGACAGATTTTAGAAATGTCCATAGTAAGTAAAAAGAAACTTTGTGCCTCAGGGAAAGATATAAATACCATGATTTCATAATATATCTAGCAGTATCACATGAATTCACAATACACAGTATACTTAATAGCTCCATTAAGAGCACACATAAAAGACAGCTCTTGCAGTCCATTTTTATCAAGGCCAAATAAAGAGCCCTTGTTCCTCCAGATATACATTCAGAGAGCCTAACCATGAGGGATCTGTTGCTAAATAACACATATTCTACTCAACGTTTCATTAGAAACCCTGATAAGATCTTGTACTAAAGGAAGCTTTTACAGTTGTGGTAAGGTGGCTAAGCTTCATTTTGCCCAAGCTACGAAAGTTAAACCTCAAACATGAAATCTACCATGTCAAGGAAACAGTTATAACTGCTTAACAAAAGACCAAAAATATAAACAAAGTGGAACAGTAAAAGCAAATCCTTGCTTTACAAACATCCATGTAAAAGATGTAAAAAATAGGACTGATCCAGTCAGCTGTCTTAAAACAAGTCGCTGTACAAACTTTAACACCCAACTTTACACATTAGTGCTCTCTCATCTCTCTATTACTTTTGTTAACTGTTTCTTCCTCTTTGTATCCCTTGATCAACAAAGAGAAGCATTCTTCACATAAATTAGCAATTTAGGGACTACATACTGACAAATGAATTAATAAATTTATACAATATCTACTCTGGAGACAAAACTCTATAAGACATTGTAAGACGTGACAGAAGAAGCATAAGCCACTGTGCTTACCATCTAAAGGTGCTTACGATCTAATGGAGGAAGAATAAAAGATGTGTAGGCAAGCAGATGGGAAACCATTATGTATTGGGGACTGGAATACGAAGGCCAGTCCTCATGAAATGGAGGTCTGGCCTGGACTCTGAAGAGTAAGCAGAGTCCACAATGGCTACGGGAGGAACGGCAGTACTCCTGGCATGAGGGATAACATAAAAAGGAAGAGACAGACCCAAGAAATACCTCAAAGGAAAGAGCAAAATACTTGTGAATAATCAGAAATGGGGTGGGGATGAAAAAAGGAAAGGGATAAAAAAAAAGAAGGGCATTTCCATCTGGGATAATTAAGAGAATGTTTTTTGTGGTAAACATCAAAGGTGGAATAAAGAACTGGATGATAAAATAATATCCCGAGTTTGATTTTGTGCATGTTAAATTTTATATGATGACAAAAATATCAAAGCAAAAATAAGCAATAATCTATTAAGATGAATGTAAAAATCTATTGATTTTGAGCATTTCCTATGTTTCAGACCATGCTAAAAGCCATGCTTTCTCATTCACCTTTAAAACTATCACATGACACAAATACTATAATTCTCCTTATTTTCCAAAGAGGTAAACAAAAATTTAAATAAATAACTTGCCGAAAACCACAAAGAATAAGTGAGAGAATTAGTGTGTGATCCTATGATGTCTAACTCCAAAGACCAGGCATAAATTCTGTAGTTGGGCAGCTATTTATTGAGACTCACTGAGTCTTACATAAATATACATTTTAAAAACACGTACATTAAGCATTTACTATGTGCCAGTCACTTTTCAAAGTGCTGAGTGCACAGTTGCCAATAAAACAGACATAGTCCTTACCCTTACGGAACTTAAATCTGGTGGGGATAATTGACATTAAATTAAAAAATCATAAAAGCAAAATTAGAAGTGGTGAGAAGGGCTATAAAGGGAATACAGAGTGCTAAGAGAAAGTATAACAGGCTATAATTTAGATTAACAATCAAGAAAGGTTTTCTAAAGAAATTTAGGTCTTCAGTATATGATCTCTCTTGATTTCCACAATGGTATATCTAAATATACCCCCTTAGCAGTTCAAATCTAACATACCTAAAACTTAACTCTGTGGATTCTTCTCCAAACCTGTCCCCCACATTAATACCTTCACCTACTCATGTCAGAAACCTCCCAGGCATTATTGACACCTCATTCTCACTCACCCCCACATCCAGTCAATTACCAATTTCCTTTGATTCTTTCTCCTAAATATACCTTAAAAAACTCTCTTATTCCATATATAATGCTATCACCCTAACCCACCTTCCTTACTTGATCCATCCAAATAGCCACCTAATTGGCTTCACCAATCCTGCTTTTGCCCCCTCCAAACCACTGCCCATGTACATCTTAGAGAGATATCATGAAAATCTAAACCCAAGCAAAAGTTCACACTTTTCCTATGACTCAATATTACATTTAGGATAAAATCTAGAATCTTTTGCATGGCCTCCAAGACCTCAAATGATCTAATTGGGCTAGCATAGTATCAAAGGATAAAAACTGCAATGAAGAAGTGATCAAAATACTACAGGAAGAGAGATAAATACTGCAAAGTCCAGTAGAACATGGGTGCAGTTATGCCACTGGATTTGGTAATAAAGTTATTTATAGCTAAGGTGCAATAGAGTAGCAAGAATGGAAGCCACATAACAGAGGGTCATGAGAGTCATAGGAAGAGACGAAATAGAGGTGGCTGACGAAAGCATTTATTTGAAAAATTAGATGATGGTAGGAGTCAGGTGACCATTTTTCAACAGCCTACACATATGAAATTGGACAAAGGCTGAGACGATAAACTTTAGGAAGTCGGGGTAAGATGAGGTCAAAGGCATAGGCGAAATGATTAGTTGCATAACAATTTTCTCAGCGGTCTAAGCTGGTAACTGTGAGCAGAGGCATGGTCGCTTACCGGGGTATCACACTCAGTGCATTTCTGGTACTCTGATTTCATTCTTTTGGCTACATCCGTTGCTGGAACTCCTTCTGAAGGAAGATATGCTCGACAATAAGGACAGGTCCACTTATTGTTCTTTAGACTGGTAGCAATACAGGAACGGCAGAATCTACCCAAAACAAACCAAGAATACATCACTTTCCTTAAAAGGTATAAAGGAGCCACCACTATCTATCTGTTCATTTGTATAAGCTGTATTTTAATGACATCTTGTACACCAAATTAAAGGTCTATTTGCATCCTATGCTGGCCAGTCTCTTACCTTCCCAGTAATGCTTCTCTCAGGCCACATGTTCTCACTACATGCACTGCACGCACTTAAACAAAAGAACACAAAGTAGTGGAATGCATTTTTATAAATGGAGTTAAAACTATAATCCAAAAGACACTCACTGTGTTCTTTCTTTTCTTTAATATCATTTTACCTAAAAATTTTTTGGGAAAATAGGTCTTTGCTCTGTAGAACTTTGTGGGTTAAATAAGAAAATAGCAGCAAGTTGAGGAGGTAAATATACCACCTATTTTAGAAGTCTTTATAAAATAATTTTAAAGTCATCCCTAGATTGGGAAAATTATCTAATCAGATTTACAGCTCTGAGGAATGTCCTCCAATTCAAGAAATATATTCTCTAGTTTGTTTAAAAATGATCATAATAAAATCTTAATATAATCAATATAATTCGCACAATACCTTGACCTATTTATAGGAGCTGTTGAAGGCTAAGTGCACACAGAAGTAAAAAAAGGAGCATTTAGGGAGGTTATACACATTAGCATGATCTGATAGCTCTTAAAGTATTCAGCATATAATATCTATGTAGGAGTATTAAACATGGTAAAAATTATTAAAAATTTAAGTATACTATACATACTGAAAAGTTCACATATCATAGGTACACAGTTCAATGAAATTTTGCAAACTGAATTCTTAATGATATCAGCCATTAATGATTCTTTAAAGTACTCTCTTTTTACATCTGTTATAAAATTCTTATGGGCACACAGAGGATGCTGATATTGGCATAGTTTCTGAGGCACTTGATGGATGTTTATGCCTATCCAGCATCCATTTCCTCTTTTTCTTGCAATAGCATCCTGATTTTGCCCTGCAGGAACTATACTTCTTAGATACAATCTGGTGGGACCTCAACTGAGGTGCCCAACATCCCCTGCTGAAGGCGAGAGAATCTGAAGTAGGCCATATTAAGTGAACCCTCTCTGTGGAAGATAAATACTAAACAGAGTGACATAAAGACTGATTCAGCAACAACTCAATGGGGCTGTCCTGCTCTTTATTTAGAACCCCAGATCTGCCTAGGTTTCTACTCCTTTTTTCCTAGGTGTTTTTGTTATTATTGTTGTTTGGTAACTCTTTATTTTGATATAATTTCAAGCTTGATTTACTTTTTTTTACAAATTTTAAAAACACCTTAATTCATTTAACCTTAACAAACCCCTAAGAAAGCTCATTATTTCCATTTATAGATAAGGAAACTGAGGTACTTTGAGGGTAAGTTATTTCTGCCAGGTCACATCTATATAAAGTACCTGAACTTGGCTGGTCTTAAGCTGGGGTTTTCTGACCCCAAATTCAGTAACTTTTCTTTCCACCACCACAGCTGGCCCAGTTGGAAAGAGCAATACTTTTGGAATCAAGACACCTAAGTCCTCTACTCCATTTTACTTCTTTCTGTCTCAGGTGATTAATTTTAAATTCTAAGGCACAATCTGTCCTTGTATTTCTTTGAGTGCCTAAGAATTGGTTCTCAAAGGATGGGTGTTGAAGGGTATTGCTTACAAATGGTTCAAATGCTCAACTCATAATTCACATATCTAATACAACACCTATGGTTCTAATATGAATTATTTGGTTTATATAATTTAGGAGCAAGCAGATAACACTTTGTTTTTTGTCAATCAAAACTCTTTCTCTTCTTCCCACGACTTATTTGAGTTTATGCCAATACAAGCAGAAGACTAATATTTGTGTTAAGGTCTCCGGTGGGTGCTGATATACATACCTTATCTCATGTAGCCCTTACAGTAATCCTAAAATGCTGCTCTGCTCTCTCCTCCTTGGCTGATGGCAAACTGAGGTTCAAAGAGGTGTAACAACTTGCCAAGGACATACAATCAGAAGAGAGTGGTGCTTTTCTCCTTAATTTTGGGAGAGGTTCAAAGTCTGCAGTCTTTTTAAAGACACTTTAATTCTTCCCTTTGAGAAGCAGAAGCAGCAAAACTGTATCACTGATGTACCTGTATAAACCAGGGGGCTTTACAGAGAGTACATTCCTGTTGTCATTTTGTAAATGTTTTGCACATGTTTTTGTAACTATGTTAGGTAACTGTAACAATGAAAATGCCTAGCAGATATTCACAAAAAGTAGAACACTTAAATCATTTTTAAAATCAACTCCCTCACTATAACCCCCTATGTCTGTACAGTGATGTTATATGTGGCATGAAACTCTCAAATGAGCATTAAATAGATGTTATTGCATTATATGAGATATTAGTTGCAAATCTGGTAGGTTAGTTAATTACTCATTTTAATAAAACTGATTATTAAATGAAAGAAACATATCAAGACCAAGGTGTTTTGGAATAGAATTGAATTTACTGATTATGAGTACATAAAAACCACAACTTTTAAAAGTGTTACTGTGGAAAGGAATTGGAAGCTACTGCAGCTCCAGTCTTCCTTTCTGGGTGCAGAAACAAGATTGCAGACCTGCTTAGTTCAAAAGATATAAGGTTAAAATTCTTTCCTTAAAGGCATAGTTATCAAATTCAAATCATGACAGCTGGAGAATTTAACATCCCTATCCTAATACACTAGCATAAAAAGTTTAGGAGTGATCAAACATTTTATAAATTTTCTAATTAGAATCCACACAGGGCTATTAAAGTTAAGGGCTATGGGTCTTATAATAAGGTCCACAGACAAGATAGCTGCAAACTAAAATTTCTTAGAAAGCAAAGTATAGAAGTGTACATATAGTATAAGCTACCTGCAGGTTTGTAGATGTATAAAACATCTAGAATAAAGAAGATAAGGACATTTATCTACTTGTTAGAGAAGTGAGAAACTGGAAAGAAGAGGTATGGTAGTAGAAGGAGGGCATTTTCATTGCTAAATTTGAAGTTTGAACCATATGACCATATTACCTGAATTATAAACAATTCTTTAAAAAAGTTAATCACCTACAACTACTTGAGATAAATGGTCTGGTACTATCTTATAAAACAAAATATACAGATACCCTTTGGCCCTACAAGACCAAGCCTGTGTATTTACTTAAAAGAAATGAAAAATATGTCCATTTGTACAAGAATATTCATAAGGAATGTTTTCATAATAGCCCCAAACTGAAAATAAGCCAGGTGTCCACTAACAGGAAAATAAACAAACATGGCATATTCCTACAATGGAATACTACATGGCAATAAAAAAGAAAGAACAAATTACTGCACAAGCAACAATATGAATGAATCTCAAAGACAGACTGGGTGAAAGAAGCCAGACACAACAGAGTACATCCTGTATAACTCCACTTATGTGAAGTTCTTGAATAGAACGTCTATCCATGGTAGAAAAAAAATTACAATGATGGTTACCTATGGGGGTATATGGGCAGAGATTGGATGGGAAGGGGCAAGAGGGACTATCTGGGGGTAATGAAAATATTCTATATTGACAAGGGTTTGGGTTTAACATTTGTCAAAACTTGGCCAACATTATACCTAGGATGTATGCATTTCAATATATGTGTAATTTACCATAAGAAAAAACAAACCATAAATAAATATTGTACTCTGGTTAATATTACAAAAGCCGATATGAGAAAGGATAAAGTGTGCTGATATTTGTAATTACTTTGAAATGCATCGAAAATAAGATGAATTGATGGATAGATAGGTATGTGATAAAGTGAGAGATAAAAGCAAATAGAGTGAAATTAACAATTGTAGAATCTAAGTAGTAGATATATAGGTGTTTACTGTACAGCTTTTTCAACTTAGCTGTATATTTGAAATCTTTCATAATAAAATGTTGGAGAAGATGAACCACCTCACAATGACTTAAAATTTCTTTACTTAGTCCCGAGAAAAATTTAGTTGGAAAATTAGGAAGGGAAATGTTTGGAGTATGAGAGACCTGATATCTTTACTGGAATGTGATTTGAAGAAAAACATTTACATTGCATTTATGAGTATTTAAATAAATTTAAAGAACATCAAACAATTTGAAATATAATAAAAGGCTGACGAGAGAAAACGCAAAACTTTAGAAAAATGAATTTGAGTGGGTTTTAGCAAGAACAGTTATTCCATGGTTATATTGCAGACTTTATGAGAAAATGCATAAATCTGTACAAAAGATAGGCACCATCTTGCTGAGATATTAAAAGCCAAGTAATCAGAGGTGTGTGGGAAAGTAGGTAGGAAACAAGCTATAAAGCCATAGCTAAGAGTGATGGGAATACATTGGAGGGTTTTAAGTAGGAAGGTAACATGACTTGGTTTAAATTATACAGATCACTAGCTGCTGTGTCAAAAATGGAAAACAAAGGTACAAGAGCCACAGTGAGGAGACCATTTTTAAGTCCATTGTAAGAGTCAGTTCAAGATAAGATGGTGGCTTAGACAAGCAAGGTAGCACTACACAGTACAAGTGAACAGATTTAGGATTTATTTTGGAAGTAGAGGCTAAAGGATTTACGACATACCAAATGATAATAAATATATGTCCCATTATGCTAAGTGAAATAAGTCGAATGCAAAAAACTACTTATAGTATGATTCCAAAACTTAGTGACAGAAAGCAGATGGGGTTACCTGGGACCAGGAGTTTGGGGAGGGGATTAACTGCAAAGGATTCAATGGGAACTTTTTAGGGTAATGAAACTAACTGTTCTAGATCTTGTATGTGGTGATGGTTATAGGGCTGTATATAATTACCAAAATTCATCAACCTGTATTCTTTGTGTAAATTGTACTGTATCATTCCAATAAAGCTGAAAACACAACACAACAAAACAAAAATTCTCCAAACAGGTCAGTAACAACAACACTGCACGGAGAAGATCATATATAGCACAGAACCAT